ATTGCAGCATAACAAATTATCATAGGCTTAACTGCAAGCAGTCATTTATTAGCTCAATGTTCTGTGAGTCAGAAGTTCCTTTGCTCAGGCTGAAATCAAGGGGGGCTGCATTCCCTCCTGGGCTCTAGGGGAAGAACCTACTTCCAATCTGATTCAGGTGATGGGATAAATTCAGTCTTTGCAGTTGTAGGACTACAGTCCCCACATGACTGGCTGTCAGCCATGGGCCTCTCAGCAACTACAAGCCACTTTCATTCCTTTCCATGTGATCTCTAGATCTTCAGAGCCAGCTTTGAAAGTCACCCTGGTGTAAATCCATCACCCTTTAAATCTCCAACTTCCAGTCTCTGACTTCTAGGCCCCAGATGGAAAGGGCTCAGTGATGAGGTCAGATCCAGCTGGATAAGCTCATTGGTTGTAACCTTAATTACATCTTCCAGTCTTCTCATAGCAACATCCTTGAATGAATAACTAAGACAGGTGGGTGGAAACCAGGAGTCAAGAATTTGTAAGACCATCTTACAATTCTGTCTACTACAATTAGGAAGTTGTACATGTGCGTGCATGTATGTGTACATATACACTAGGATCTATCTTGTGTAAACTTCTATGATTTACTTAATTTGATAAGTATTGTACCTCTAGTGTCTCACTTTTTATCAAACTGTACTTCTGGTTCCCTGGTAATCATTCAAACCAATTTGATAAGTTCTGATTAAGTACCTAGGATATGCAAGGCATGGCTCCAGCCTTCAAACACACCCCTCAAGAGCATGACATCTAGTAAGAAGAGACAAGGACATCAGTTGCTCTAAAACATGGCAGAATGGCTAAAGAAAGGGACAGAGGGAGACCTGACCCATTGAGGAAATTAAAAAAAAAATTAGGGAGGAGACAGAATTTTATTTTCATCTTGAAGAACAGGCATGACTGGAGTAAGCAGACATTCCAAGGGCTAGGGCAATCCAGGAGGAAGTGATCAATTAATTGTATAAGCAAGGACACTGAGGACTGAGCAGGGGCCCCCAGAGGAGAGCTGGCACATGCAGTTCAATGGAGAGCAATGAAAGATGCAATGAGAAGGGTATGATGGTGTAGGGTAAGGAAAAATGTCAGGCTTTTCTGCCCTCCCGCCATCAGGATAGATGATGGATCCTTGAGGTCCTGAATGCATGCCTGATGGCGGGCACCTGGAGTAGGGTGTGGGCATAGGTAGATTCACCTGGGCTAAGACTGTGCGTTTAAGGGCGGCGTCATGGGGACGCCAGCAGCAGCAGAAGCCGAAGCAGAAGCTGAGCAGTAGAAGCCGAAAGAGAAGCCAAGAGAGAAGCAGAGAACGCCAGAGCCCAGATAGAGTGAGGATTTGCTGGGGGCTGGGAGGTCTGCCAGCCTCCCGGCCCCCCCAGCACCCCTGCCTGCCATATGCCTGGCGAACCCCAATAAAAGACCTGCAAAAAAACCACTGAGGACTCTGACTGCTCCATTACCCGGTCTGCTGGATCAGAAAACCTGCACTGTGTCCTGACCTGCCCTTTACAGATGGTGTCAAGTGGAGGTACTTGAAACCAGGTTAGGAAGCAATGGAGCATTATGGAAGAACTATCAGGGAAAGTAATAAAATTAGTACTGCAGTGCAGAAATGTGAATTAGGGTGTGGCCTTTAGGTTGGATTGAAGAGGGAAATCCTGAACACTTGTAATGAGAAATGAGAAAGGAGGCTCTGCCAGTGGCCCATGTTACAAATAAAGGCCTATGCTCAGGGGTGAACCAGCAGTGAAAGTCATAAAGGCATACTCGAGGTGGAAAATGTGGTCTGTAAGAGAAAGAAGAGCAGTTGCTATGACTCAGAGGTTTCATGCTTATGACTGAAGAATGTTCCCTGGGTGCAGTTTATTATCACATATATCAAGTGACCTTGCTATGTTACTCAAGACATCACAAACCCATAGCACTTTGTGGCTGGAAGAGATCTCAGGGGTCTCAGAAAGAGGTAATTGAGAACCGTCCAGTTAAATATCATTTCAAAGACACTCAGCTGATTTAAGCCTTAGTGGCAAGGAAGTCCAGGCGTCTGCAATTCCCATCAATCCACCCACTGGTTTCTTAATCATCACAAAGCTCTTTTCGGGTGACTTAGCAAAAGGTAAATAGCATAATTTGTTGCTGAGCAAATGCAATAATGGGGCTGTTGCTGGGCATGTGTGAACTGAAACAATTTCAGGACTTGCTTAGATACCAGTTTTCTCCAAATTACTTTCTAAAATGTCAGTCTTTAAAACTTTTGCAAAGGAAAATTGCCAGAGGTGAGGCCACAACAATTTTGTACAGAGACAAATATGTGCTAGAACCATCTTCAGAATTTCAACAAAACCAGAGTTTTCCAGTAATTCGAATTCAAAGGTCTGAACTATTTTTCAATACTGATTCTTAAGTGGGCACTTCCAAAAGCAACTTAGATATTTATTTCCAAAACAAAATCCTTCCTGCTAACTTAATCATAGTAAAATGTCTACAGCTGGCCCTTCGGCCATTTCTTTCACTAGTTTGAGTATCTGCTGATTATACCAAACAATAGCTTGAAGGATTGGACTCTGGAAGATCTTGATCCTGTGTTTGTCCTGGTCACTCATACACCTTGATTCTTCTGATAAAAGCACCTGTTTTTCCTTATGAGAATTCCATTTACACCCTTACAGCTTTAGGACATGGATTGGCAGAAAATCTCTAAATAATGGGATGTGTGGTTTTCTTATGGGCTTCATTAAACACCAAGAAAGGGAGCTTAGCCTATCTGCAATGGAAGCTGACCACACACATCTTTGTTAAGAGAGGCCCTCACTTATTTTGTGAGAGGCCCTCACTTATTTATTAAGTCAGACCGAGGAAGACAAATACTATCTGATCTCATATATGGAATCTTAAAAAGCCAAACTCACAGAAGGAGAGAGTAGAATAGTGGTGGCCAGCAGCTGGGGATGGGGAAATGTTGCTCAGAGGGTACAAACCTCCAGTTATGAGTAAGTTTTGGGGCATCTAAAGTGTCTATAATTAACAATACTGGATTATATACTTGAAAGCTGCTAAGAGAGTAGATCTTAAATATTTTCACACACATACAAATATGTATATGGTGATTATGTGAGAAGATACAGGTATTAACTAACTTTACTGTGGTAATCATTTTGCAATATATATGTGTATGTATTAAATCATCACACTGTATACCTTAAACAATATTACATGTCAAGTATATCTCAAAAAGTTGGAGGTGGGGGAAAAGAGGTCTCACTGATCTACAATCTAAGATGGCTGACAGTAAGGTAATATGTCTTACCCAGTTGAAAAACTAAGTTGTCTACCCTTGTTGAAGTTGGTATAAGAAATGAGATTAGGGCTTAAGCAGACAAATGAAGGAAACCCAATTCCCTAGGTTTCTCCCAAACATTTCCTGCTAAGTACCCTCTGCTGACATGGTAACAAATCCCCCATTGTAAAGTACCATTCACTGTAATCTTCCTGGAAGAGAGGTTATGTTGGCTCTTCCTCACCACTTCAGCCTATTGTTTTATGCTGCACTGAGATAAGAGATAAGATATTAGGGGTTAAACTAATATTGTGAGTTGAGAGCAGGATTCCTCAGGATATTGTTAAGACTCATAAACCACAAGAAAATGTCCAGATTCAAAGGTCATAAACTTGACATTTCTGCTATTAGCTACAAACTAATGGAATTCCTGAGACTCAAATTCCCTGGCTGGCAATTTATTGGTTTAAAGAATTACACTGCCAGGGAAATCCCAAGCCTGGCAAACAAGGTCCTGTGATTGCTCAATCCCTAAGGGGATTCCCTGCCTGGATAACTGCCCATGTGTGAAGTAGAAGGTTTAAGCTGCACAGAAGTCAGCAGAGCTCCTCCACTGCATGTCCTAGGGCTGGCTATAAAGGAAACAGACATCAGGGAGACCCCAAGGCAATCAGACTCCCTAATCAAGTGACCTACTGTGCTGCCAGGCCAGGGCATGCTTGCGTCTCCTTCCAGCAGGATATGGTCTTTGAGTCCCCAGTGCATATTATTTTATCTTCCCCTTCCTCTAAATAAAAGTACTCATTGTGGTTATCCATTTTTCCCTTTTCATATTCTATTTTATGGCTTGAAGATGGTTAAAGTTGCCAGTTAGTCATAGATTGCTAAATGGATCACATGAAGCACATCTGGATTTCATCAATGGTTCATCTGCAAGAATCCTTGTCCTGGGGCTGGATGCAGTAATCGCTTACCTTTGAGTTCTCTCTCACTAGGGTTCTATTTTTGGTTATACAGACAATAAGTCCTCTTTCTTAACTGTGTGTGGGGGTAGAGGGGGGAAGAAGGCTCTTAATACCTTCTAAGCAGCCCAGTGGTAGAAGGTAGTGACTGTTGTAGCTCTTTGCTTTAGTCTACCAACATGTTTTTTGGTGCCCCTTTTCCTAATGGGGACCATGTCTTCTCAATACAACCCTGGTGGGATTGTCAATCACAATGATCAGCCCCCAACCAGCCACATGAGTAAGCCTAAAGTTCAAGACCATCCATCCACTGGATGGTCACTTAAACTAGCAGAAAAGACACTCCCTGAATAGGAAAACTTTCTGTTCACACTGAAATTGCTAAGCTGGAGTGACTGGTGCACCTCCCTCCCTCCCACATCCTTATAAGAAAATAAGACCAAGGCACACTTAGAAATAGAGAGGAGACAAGAGATGGCGAGAAAGGCAAATTCCCACTGATGGTGTCAAGTCCGGGTCCCAGTCCTGGAGTCCTGGTGATGTTGCTTTTGTTCTGATTCTGTAAGCTCCCTGCCCCCATCCTTTTCAAGCCACGGTTTTGCTTAAGCTAGTATGAGACCAGTTTCTGCCACCCCAGACAAGTTAAAAGGAAATCTCATTAACATATGCTTGATGATGCAAATTGGAATGAGGAGAAATAAGGACATCATTCTTAGGCAGAACATGGTTTTTACCTTTCACCTGAGCCCACACCGCACAGGAGCATCTTCTCACCTATAAAGGAACACAGCAACATATTTCACTAGGAGGCACATGATATCAATTTCAATAATACGTGGTCATCCTACAAGTTTCACAGTTTTCTCTCTTAATTTAGACTACAAGAGCTTTAAAATCTCATCTAACTATCATCTTACAACTTAGCCACATGATCACCATGTGGATAAACAACAGGAAAGCTCTCAGCAGTTGGCTCTGGCTGCCAAGAGAACTATGCTGCAAAGGATCAACATACCTGCCAGGTTTGTAAGTAGTGGTGCATATTTCGGCAAGGCTGTGAGAAGTCCTGGTGTTTACTAATACTTCATCTTTCTAGATGATATTTACCTGCCACCTCAGTTACGCAAAATGTAGCCAAGAACAAGGAAGAAAGCAAAAAGGGCATGTGTGAAAGCTGATCTGTAGGACCCACGAGTTCACTGGAATGAAGCCCCTTCTCTTAGTGCCCCGCACCGTTACAATGTGCATGTCTGTCTAGGCAGGATGCTGAGATGACTGTCTATGATGGAACTCAGCAGAATATTCCCCAGAGGAAAATGAATAGCAGGAGTAGAGTAAGATTTTTTCCAACTTCCTTCGGAGTTTCCCCTTCAAATGAGAGCCTTGGACATTCTGATTTTTATTTTACTAAAAATTGAAAAAATATACATTTATACTGAAAAAAAAATCTGGGGAAAGGTTTAAATGGCTATGAGGTTAAATTGTGACTAAATTTTGCCTCTATGCTAACTAAGTGCATCAAATGCATTTAATGGAAGTTAATATGCAAGAATAACAAGTAAAGGAAAGGGGACCTCAAATAGCAAGGCAGTTAATAGGGAACAGACTGCATTAAAGGAGAGAAATTGGCAGGGTGAGGTGAAGAAGTCAGCTCATGAAAATTGAGTGTCTTGATCAGATTTGTGTTTTATAAAACTTATTATAGCAGTACTATGGATCAAGAAAATAAGTAGAATCAGAGACAGGGAGATGAACTAGGAAATTGATCTTCAGACAAGAGATGACAAAAGCTCAACAGTGCTAGTGAAGGAGAAAGAAGGATGATTTTAAATAGCACTGAGGTGATAGAACCGACACCATTTGATGACAGACTGGACATGAGGATAAGAAAAGGGAAGGAGACAAGAATAATTCTTAGAATCTGTCTTAGCAAGGAAGAACAAAGTGATGGAAGGAAACAGAAAAAAATGGGAGAAAGGGAAAATTCACACTTCCTGATTTCACATTTGATTACAAAGCACCAGTAATGAAAACAGTATGACACTGGCATAAAGGCAGACATATAGACCAATGGAGTAGAATAAATTATTGTTTTTTTTTAATAGAGGCATTTTATTTATTTATTTGTTTGTTTGTACATGCACTGGGTACAGTCAGAAGCACGGGAGGGTGAGAGAATTCACCAGAGCCAGAGCAGGGAGCAGAGCAGGCAGAAGGACCAAAGTACACTGCTGAGGGGAGCAGCGGGCGGCAGGAGAGGTCTGCGCGCCATGTGGGACCCTCCTCCAGTGGCTGGGGAGCAGCCAGGGATCGAACCGGCACCGCAGAGGCCGCGGGCAGCTTCGCATCCCAGTGCTCAACCGCTGCGCCACCGGGGAGGCCCATCAAGTGGTTTTTGACAAGGATACCAAGATCATTCAGTGGGGAAAGGAAATCATTTCAACAAATAGTGCTGGTAAAGCTAGACATCCACATACAAAATATTGAAGTGACACCTTTACCTAATGCCACACAAAAACTTACAGTGGATCAAACCTAATATAAACAAAACTCCAAAAAATAAAACACAGAAGAACTTTAGGAAATTGGATTTGGCAATGATTTCTTTCTGTTTTTACACAGTTACTTTTTTTATATATATAGTTATAAGCACTGGTTATAACATTGTATGTTTTAGGGGTATAGCCCCCACCAAACTAAATGTATGTCATCACACCTTGCCCACCACCAAAGCTCCATGAAGGTTTCTCTATACTGTCTTTATAAAGACAAAGTATGCAACATATTTTTTAAAGATTTATTTATTTACACTTACAAGAGCCAGGATGTAAGCCAGAGGTACGGGGGACGAGAGGATTAACCAGAGACAGAGTGCAGAGCAGAATAGGTGGATCTATTAAAATACACTGCTGAGGGGAGCAGCAGGTGAGACAAGAGAGGTCTGCTGTGCCATGTGGATCACCTCCTTGGCTGGGGATCGAACTCACTCTGCAGTGGCTGCAGACAACTTCATAGTGCTGCAACTTAACCCCTTCTGCCACCAGGGAAGCCCCAACATACTTTTAAGCTATAACATGCAGTGTCCATCTCAAACACTTGGAAAACAAATATTCAAACATTTAATGATTAACTGTTAAATTTCATGGGAAGAAAATACAGAGTTTATCAGAGCTTTTAAAGAAACATACCTTATTCCATTCACTGGTGATTCGTAATATAATGCAGTAATCACTGCCTGTTTTCAAGGGTGCATTATAATATTTCCCATAGTACAGCCTGTCTCCAATAGAGATCTCCATGGCATCATCTTTAACATCTTTGGCCAGTAGTTCTGCAGCCACATACCCATCAGCATCAGAGGTGTTGCTAAAAAATGAGGTAGCCCGTACAGAAGCACAAGAAAATGAGTTTTGGAGGACCAGGGGCAGCACCAACACCTGATAAGAACTGGAAGAAAAGAGAAAATGCCTATCAGACTCAGTCACTCATTTTTATATTTATTAAACACCCGCTATGAGACAAGCACTCTTCTAGATATAGGAGACACTGCACTGGACAAGAAAAAATTCTTGCCTGCATAGAATTTATGGTCTGAGGGTTTTAGCAACATCAGTTTTAAGCAACATCAGGTTTAACCTGCAGTGTGTTAATAGTGGCTGACAATGGGTGACAAGTTCTGGCTGTGGAGGCAGGTGAAATTTCTAGCTGGGAAAAGGGTTTGCATATATTCTGTCCTGTGCAGAGTATCGGAAGGTGGACCTAATTGGTGATCTGCACAAGGACAAATAAAGCTCAGCTGTGGGAAGTGTTTAGCAATCACATGGTGGCCAACTTCCTACATGAGTTAATGCACAAAGTCTACAAAAAGGCTCCAGATACTCACATGGCAACCTAAAATGGAACTCATGTGATCACATGCCCTACAGTTCAGAGTGATACCAAAGTTCATGTGAAATAAATGAGAGGCAAGAAGTGCAAAGTCATCATGAGCTCATTTAGTCTGACAAAATCCTGAAAGAACCAGAAAAGTAAAATGTCTTATGTACACCATGAAAGTGCTCCCTGAATGTGGACACAGAAACACACGAGTCATCAGCTGTCACGGGGTTTATAATTATTTATTTAATCAAATAGAAATCTGTCAGTGAAAGTAACTGAAAGAATAAAACTGCAGGGACTGAAACATGCCTTCCTTTTGATTCCTGTCTATTCAGTATTTCTCTCCTGCCTCTTATAGCAAGTGTGCGAACATCCACTTTCTCTATCAGGCTTTGAAACAGGGATTTGAAAGATTTGCTCTTATATCCTTACAAATCCTTACACAGTTCTTTGGCCACAATTGACTCTCATTCATGTTTCTTGAGCTGAAATTTTGATAAAGAGGAGGAACATGAATCCAAACAGGATTAGGATAATTGCTAAAACTCCTATTTTACCAGTAAATATATGCACTTCCTGCTCCATGTTCCTCATGCCCTAGCTCCCCTCTTTAAGAATCCAGGAGCCACTACTCAAGAAAAGGGTGCCCTTCTCCACAGTAGGTGCTGGCTCACTAAGCAACCAACATCCTGGGTGTCCTCAGGGTCCTGATTTTTGCCTCATCTGGGTTCACTTTCAGTCAAGGGCTTTCTACAAAAGGTACAAAGCAAAGCCTGCAGGCAATGCGTTGTCATCTCCCTCACCAGTAAACATTTACTAAACCTCCAATGCACGCAGGAAACACCTGCAACAACACCCTTTCCTCGGAACTTGAGGACACCTTTATGAGTCATGGTCTCAGGTAAATGTTGTCAATGTGGCAGTAACTGAGTCAATGTGGCAGCAATCCATGTCGTCCACCAGCATATCTTCACATCCCTGGTAGTTCCATGTAGGTCGAAGTGCTCAAGGACAAATTCAAAGTTCATCTGAATTCTGCTTCCTGACATTGCCCACAGGAAGCACTATTGACCAAGCATGAAGCATGATTCCCAATTATCATGATCATATCTGAGTTCCTTGATAATTAGACAGATCCCCAGGACCCAGGCTAGACCTATTGAATCAAAATCTCCCAGAGCAGAATATGAGAATTTGTACTGTTGGTAAAGCATGCCAGGTGATTCTGTAATCTGGCAGGTACAGGAGACCCTAGCTTGAAGGGAGCCCAGCAAGAGAGCTTATCGTCCACAAAGATCACCAAGCGAAAGAAGGAAGTCTTGGTCCCAGAGCCCCCACTCCACTGGGGCCCCACCCACCATGCCCCCCAAAATCCACAAAGCAGACTCAGGCCTGTCTCACTGTGGCAAAACTGTACCCCCAGCTCAAAACAGGTAGTCAGACCGAAGAGCTGCCCGACTTGCTGCTGGTAAATCCTGATGACGTAAGGGAAGCAGTTGTGGCTGCATGAAACATGACTATTCTGGAAAGACTTCTCTTCTCTCTCTCACCACCACCCTCCCCTGAATGACTCACAGACCTCCATTTCCTGTTTTGGAGGCACCGGCCAGCACAGAGCCACAAGGCCAGGTTGTCATTTGGCTTTTCCTTTTGCCTTACGTAACTGGCTTAAATATCACGTTTGCTCTCGTAAATTCTCATGGGCAGTGATATCACAACTTCTGTTCTCCTTATGGCACACAATTACAGTGCCTTCCAGTAACTTGTCAGGAATCAAGGAACAGAACAATGTATTCAATATCCATCCCTGGAAAGATCTCTGAGCACTTACTGAACTCAATCTAATGGAAAGACAGAAAAAGCCTAAGCTGCATTAAGAAGCTTAAATTTCAAACAGATAACACCTCCAGACTTACTTTTTTACAATTTTGTATTATCTTTCTTCATTTTTACCATGATCTTACTTAAGGGTCATTAGATTGAAGGGTCAAGAGAGACATGGATAATGGAGGTCACGCCAAGGGCAACCAGATTATTGCCAACTCCTTGACTTATTCCTGTGAGTATCTCTCCAAGTGAACCTCAATCTTCCTCTCTAAAAAGGGAATGATTTCACATTCCCAGTCTTACTATGACCTTTGTAAAGAAAATGCTTAATTGAACACAACAGAGTCCTTCAACTGAGGTCAATTAATTCCATCCTAATACCACCTAGTATCCTAGAAGCAGCCATTAACTACAGTCTTGCACATAATTCAATATGTGGATAAGTTAAAAGGCTTATCCATACGACCCTTTCAGAAACCACTACATGCACCCCAAGATCATACTTAGAGGAAAATATATTCTGTCTTTGGTAAATGAAATGGATTGGTCCCCAATCCACCATCACCAACAGATATGCATGAAGCCGTGAATGTGAAAGATAATGTAATAAGACAATCAACCAACGCCTGTTCAATGACCTAATCAACCAATGCTTGTCCAATGACCTCATTTCTTGAGCTAAGCTGCCAATGCTTGTGTCTGGTGCCTTAGATGTCTCATTGCTCATTTGGAAGGACACCGCTTAGAATTAAAGGCCCAGCATGGGCCCAAGAAAGCAAAACAGATGTTCTGACCACACTGCCTCAACCACTCTATTGCAACTGCCAAAGAAAACATGCCATAGAAGCCATGGAAAATGGACAGCTACTGACCTGATAGGCCCATTATCCTCCTTAGCTTTCCTCAGTCTCAGGCGTGGAAGAGGCCATCCATGCACTGTAGAAAAGTCTACTTCTGGAAGAGGAGGCTCTGCAAACACATTGAAGAGAAGAAAGGGTTATCATCAGAACACACAGAAGAAGGAAGGCATCCCCATGAGCCAACAAAAAGAAAGTGTTTGTTTGTTTTTTTAAGATGTATTTAATCATACATACAAGAACTGGGTTACAGGGCAGAGGTGCAGGAGAGTGAGAGGATTCACCAGAGATAGAGTGGGGAAGAGAACAGGCAGACTGCCTGAAATACACTGCTGAAGGGAGCAGCAGGCGAGACAGGAGAGGTCTACTGCGCCATGTGGCTATCTACGTGGCCCGCCAGGATTGAACCTGTGCAGCAGAGGCTGTGGACAGCTTCACAGTGCTGTGCTCAACCGCCTGCAACACCAGGGAGGCCCCCAAAAGAAAGTTTTAATGTAAGAAATAGTGAGCATATTCTGAAACATCCACAACACTGATGAATTTTGAAAACATTCTGCTAAGTCAAATAAGCCAGACACAAAAGAACAAACATCATATGATTTCACTTATATGAAATATCTCAAAGAGGCAGAGGTTGCCAAGGGTTAAGAGGGTGGGGAGGGAATGGCAACGGATTGTTTACTGGCCCCAGAGCTTCTGTCGAGAATGATGAAATAGACAGTGGTAATGGCTGTATAATATTGAGAATTACTGACCGCTGATGAATCACACGCTGGAAAATGGTCAAAACGGTACATTTTACATTATATGTATAGTACCACAACAAAAAAAAATTTTTAATCAGTAAGAGAAGTGATACCCTAGAACTGACAAAGAGTGGAAACCGTGGTCCTTGCAGAATACTTAATGGATAGGTTCCTATCAGGTGGGAAAGACCAGCAGGTTAGACTTTTTATCCTTTATAATCACAGAGCTCTCTGCCCTTATTTTGTTCTCCCAGCAACTGGATTTCCCAAGTAGATTTCCACTGGGAAATCTGAACACTGACATCAGTGTACTAACAGCTAACTGGGAGTTGCATTCATGGAATAAACCCAGCAGCTGCCTTACGCAAAACACAGCTAGGATGTACTGGGAACTAACCAAATATACTTGATGTGTTCTATTTGCCTCCTCTTGTGCTATCTTCTTAACAGTGCTAGCAAGTGAATGAGATTTACTAGAAGCAATTGCTTCCTTCTTGTCCTGACATGCCTACATGGGCCCAGTGCAATAGGAACGTCTTTCCAAACTATTAGGGGAAGAGCTCTCCACCCCCCTGACTTGGGACACAGCTAGAATTTGGCTCTTGTTCCCACTGGTGCCTCCCCTGGCTGGGGCTGGGCACACCTGCCTACTTTCTCTTCCAGCTCCTACTCCATGCACTAGGCAACCTTGATTCAAGGTAGGTCTACATTAGTCCCATAGATTCAATTTCCCCAGGGGTGGGGCCCCAAATCTCCATGTGGGAGGAAATCCCTGGAAATGTCATGTGGACCGCAGGCCCATACCAGTTCTCCCACCAGTACAACTCATTTGATTCCTATCTTACTCTTTTGTATATTTTTCAATTACCCAAAACTTGGGAAGCAGGACAAGTATCTTTATCACCTCAGAAAAATCCCATTGTATAGATGAGGAAATTGAAGCATGGAGGGATTAAGTAACTTGCCCAGAGAGCACCACTGGCAGAGTCGGGGTCTGACCCCATGATCTGCTACATGCCTGTCCTGCTCACCTGGGGCCCCCTGAGGGTTTGGCTTCACCACATTGATCCAGCAGGTTTTTAATAACCTTCAAGTGAACTAATAAAATCTCTTCTAAAAACCTGAATTCATAAAGATTCTATGAAACATCAATTTCAAGAAAAGACTTTGTTTGCATCATGACTGTGGAGTGAATGTTCTATGCGGCTCATGTTTGAGAAGCTGGACTATAATGAAGCAGTAGGAATCACCACTCTAATGTAGTGAGGAGGACCAGGGGCTCTGTGTTAGTGTGCCGGTCCTATCACTTATGGCTCCAGCTGTCTCATCTATAATACGGGAATAAAAATAATCCCACCGTTTAGGCCAGTTGAGGGATGGACGAGTCAACACAAGAAGGGAGCTTGGACAGTGTCAGGAACACACTGAGTGCCCGGGAGTGGTTTCCATAACAGCACCTGAGCTACATCTACTGTGTGCTGAGTACTGTGCTCAGAGTGTTGGTGTTTCCTCCAATCCCCATGGCAGCTGCATGCAATGCTCTCTCTGCTTTATCGATTGCCCAGTCAGGCTGAGTCACATCATCGATGATGACAGCAGAGCTCTGGGTGGCACCCAGTTAATTTCACTCCGAAGGCGGTTCTGCCACATCGCCATGCCATCACCATGCCTGTGTTTACATTGCCAAAGACCAAACTGTGTCCTCGAAGTGGAAACCCAGAACTACAGCCCCTGAAGGAATGATGGGGCTCCTGCCATCCCAGCCTCAGATGATAAGGACAGAGGTTGAGGAGCCTGAGGGTGACAGAGACCAAGGATCCCTTAAGGAACAGGTGTTCAAAAGGAAGAAGAGACTAGAAAAGAAAACTTGGGAACAGCCCCAGGCAGGGAGACCCTGGAGACAGATCTAGCTCCTCTCCAACCAGTGCACAGCGAACGTTATTAAGAAGCTGGGGTCTACAACACAGCAAGGGTGTTCCCCACAGTATGAGGGTTGGCAACATAAACCAGAAGAGAGACAGTGTCTCTAACGGGGGTGGAGAGGGCTTCCACTGAATGAAGAGCAAGCCAAAAGCGAAGCCAAAAGTAACCCCATCATTGCAAAGTTCTCAGAAGATGGGAGAATCGGGCCAATCTTCAAACACATGTACCTGGCCTCTTTACATATCACATATGTTGCATGTTGGTTTTATATGCTCACATCCATACTTCTGGGAGAGTGTCTTCACAGTGCTCCAGTGTCCCTCCACCTGAAGCCGAGTCAAGGCCCACCACTCCCCAACCACAGGGTTGATCAGTGAGAGTCACCATTTAACTTTGGTAGACCTGAGGGCCTTACACCTCCTGGGGTATAAATGTGAGTACCAGGAAAGCACAGAGGGCAAAGTTCATCCTTGCAGGCCAGTCTATAAGAGCTCAAAGGTGCAGAGCTGGGATAAAGACAGCTCTGGTTGCCTCATGGGTGGCTGAATCTAGCTGTGCTCCACATGGCATCCACTCCTGGACTTCCCAGCTCTGTGAGCAAACAAATCCACTTGCTCGAGCAGATCTGAATTTGGAGGCTGTAACAGCCAAAAGAGCCTGATACAGAACACACTGGCACCCCAGTGTTGATTTTCGACAGGTGCCCAGCACAGCAGGGGTGCAGGAACTCTAGTACTGGGCCAGCAGGACGCAGGAGGAAAGGAGCTCTGTGCATCTGTGTAAGAAGCGTAGTGTGAAGGCCAAGGACAAGATCATTGAAGTAGACCCCCCTCATCCTGGGGTGCTGGATACAGGGAAGACATCAAGGAGACATGCTTTATCCAGACTGTGGAACAAACCTTCTGTCCTTCCAGGTCTATTACAGCATCAGCTCAGGAAGGGGAAGGAAGGCGGGAGTGAGAGAAAAAGAGCGAAAGAGAAAAAATACATAAGCATTCTCCCCACACTAGGACTGGCCCCTGCCACAGTGAAATGAAGGGTCAGGAAGCCAAAGTAGATACTCGAGACTCTACTGACCCAATTAGAAAATAGCACTGGGATAGAAATCCTCAATGCAAATGATAGTAAAAACTTGGGCTTGCCCGGGTAGTTTTTAAAGCCCTATCAAGCATGTTATTCATGTATCCCCATTCAACACGCTGATTAGCCAGATTTGTGTGCCCAGCACTATGGGGGACTGAGAAAGAGCTACAGAAGACACAGTTTCTACTTACCAAGAGCTTAGAGCCTGCTGGTAGAGACAGTTTTGTAAACAGGCAGCATTTAATGTGATTATAAAGTTCTACACAGCGTGCTGTGGGAGTGCAGAGAAAGTCCCCTGACTATGTGCAGGGGGTGGAGCCCATCAAGTGCAGAAATAGATAAACGTGGGGGCAGGAGGTAAGCGAGAGCAGAGATAGGACCACAGGTAGGCTGAGTCCTCGGTAGAGGTAAGCAATGAAGTGAGAGTCGCTGGGAGTAGTCAGATCTGAGGTTCTGAACATAATGAGAAGTTATTTAAAGATTCCACGCAGACATTTAGTTTAGAAATATAATTTACATGGTTGGCAAAGAGTAGACACACAGGTTGTCCAAAATCTAGGTAAGGAGCACCTGAGATCTGAGAATGGAGACAGAGGGGACAGAGGAAGAGTCATGCAGGAGAGAAGTGAGCTAGTCTGTGATAGAAGGTGAGGAAGGAGGACCTCCTTGGTGGCGCAAGGGGTTAAGATGAAACCTATGAAGCTGTCTGCAGCCACTGCAGCATGAGTTCAATACCCAGCCAGGGAGCTACCCACATGGCACAGCAGACCTCTCCTGACTCACCTGCTGCTCCCCTCAGCAGTGTACTTCGGTCAGTCTGCCTGTTCTGCTCCCACTCTGTCTCTGGTGAATCCTCTCACCCACACCTCTGGCCTGTACCCCAGTTCTTGTATGCATAAATAAAGAAATCTTTAAGAAAAAAAAAGGTGAGGAAGGGGAAAGAAAATGAGTCTTGGTTTTGGCAACTGAGTCAGGCATCAAGGTCTGCGGAGAAAATACAGCTAGGTTCCTGCAGCAGCTACTAGGAGAGGCTGCAGTTCAAAAAGCCCCTCTCAGGTCCCTCAGGGAAAGGTGCCCCTTCCAGTTTGAGAATTTCTCCTCAATGCTCTATGGTGTCAGTGAAGTGCCCTTTCACTTGTGATATTTTGTTGTCACAGTTAAGTAAGTGGCTTTTATCACAGATTTCCTGTTTTCAGCCCAAAGGGAGATAAACTGCTTACACTTTTCTGTGTGAGCACCCGCCTTAAGTTTCTTTTCAATTATTCCTCTGTTTGCGTTTCTCTAAGATTCATAATTCTAGTTCTTCTAATCTCTTGGTTGATCTTTTAAAACCACCCCATTTCTCATCACCCTCAGTAAC